GTTTTTGCATATACAAATGCCTGACTAAACTCATTATCTGTCTCACAACCACTGAAAGACGTCGTGCTATTAAAGAACTTGTTGTAAGAAGGTTTTGTAACCCTTCTAACGCTGTATTTATCTTTGATTCTGGTGCGGTCACTTGACCTGTTTTTGTGTTTAATATTAGTTCATAATACTTTGGTTCCTGGGTTAGTTCCAAACAACCTTTTTCAGCTAAAATAAAGCCGCAGTTCTTCAGGTCCCAAAATATCACTGAGTTTCTTATATGAATCAATGTTTCTTTGCATGGGTGTGCTACCAAATATCATCAAGGTGGTTTCTACAAAAAATGCCTAATGATTTCCAGTGATCTATTAATGGCCTCATTATCTTCGCAAATATCCATACTGCTAAACTTAGGCCGAATGATAAACCATGATAGTGGTACCATTTTGTCTCTATTCTGAATCCTAATAATCTTTGCGCTTTTTGATCTATCAATATGTGATGGTAGCCCTCCTTTAAATCCAACACTATTACCCACCAATTCTTTCCCGTTATTCTTAAAAATGTCTTAATCCTTCGAATCGGAATGATTTTTCTGGAAGTGTTTGTTTAAACATATTAAATCTATAATCAGACGCCACTTTTTTGGACCAGGTTTTGGTACCAAAAATATTGGGCTTACTTCGAGCAAATATGATGGTCGGGTTGGTGAGTCTGCAACTATTGTTATTGCTTTTATTTCCAACAACCTGCGTATTTCTTTCTCTACCCACAATATTTGATCTTGTGTTAATATATACTGGAGTGGGTCTGGTTTTCTCATTAGGTTCAATAGTCCCTTCGGATACAATGGTATACCCTTTTCTAGCCAATATAATACCAACTTTGGAGCTTGAATTTTTTGATTCCAATAATTTAAATGTTCTTTTCAGTGTAACTGCCCTACAACTGGTATTGATTGTTGGGCCCGAGTATAGTCAATCACGTTTATTTTCTTCACTGGGTCCTGAGTACTTATTTCTATAGGCTGTATAACCATGTGATTTGTACCTGAATCCTCTTTCTTGTCCAGAGTTCTTGTAGGGATCTGATAGACACATGTTTGCATAATGTTTTGCTCCACCACAGATGTAATATTTGTCTCTTGTATTTGGACCCCCATTTGAGTTTGGGTTTGGTAATTTGACTGAAAAAACTGTCCATAATTCGTGTGATACGCTGTCGATGGGACGTTTGGATTTTTCCTTTGGTAATTCCTTCTCCAATAAGGTTGGACAGAATCTTCTGTATAAATGTGAGTTTTTCTCTTTTTATTTCTTCGTGCCTCTGCTAACGCTTTTGCCTTTTCAATTTCTGGTTCTTATCCTTTTAACAATTTATTTTGCGTATTTGGCATAGCTGCGGCAACATCCCACCCAAACCCTTCTGCAACACATAGTATGACCATTCTATCTGCTACCAACTCACGAGCACAAGTAACATGGTTTACCACCTCTGTTGTGTTTTGTGAATCCAATGTTAAATCTAACTCTTTTCCAACTATACACCAGACATTATATTCATGTTGATCACATGCTCTTTCAAATTTATGAGCTGGACAGGCATCATTTATTTCACCTCTATTTACTTGGGCCACTACTGTGTTTAACTTATAATCGAAATCTGCTATCACATTTTCTAGGTTTTCAAATTTTGCTAATACCAATTTCTGTAGAGAATCTGAATGGTTATCATTCATGTCTTCAGGTAATTGTTGCTTTTTTGTTCTTATAGTGTCTCTATATGGTTGATTATTCAACTCTTGTCTTATTACTGAACTTGCAGGAACTTAATGATTTAATAAATCCTGGTGAACTGTTAATGATGGTTCTCTTGAGTTATTTCTTCTTGTCCATTATATACGATCTCTCAGGGCCTTTATCTCCACACTCTCATTCCTTGTTTTTATGCCAGTCACATGTTGTTCTACATCTGAGTTCATATCGTCTACGTAACCTTCCTCCTCTCTAATATTTGGTGAGTTTGAATTTCTTGTTCTTGATGCTAATGTATTTGAATAAGACTTCAGTCTCTGAACTAAATCAGCTTTTACTCCATCTGTGGATAACCCCAGGCCACGGCAAATATTCTCCAAATCACCTTTTGACAGGTTTGACTCTGATATAATGACCGATTGTTCTTTATATATCTTTACCCCTTTTTTTTTTTTTTTTTAGTTTGTTTCTGGTTGAGTTTATTAAGTGGTTTATTTTGAGTTTGTTTAAGTTTGTTTAAGTTTTTTTTTTTTTTTTTATACTTGTCCTGTGAGCTTATTTATACTCATTTACGCTTTATCTTTATCACGTAATCTTTATGTATTCATTATTTTCTTTTTACTTCTTGTAGATGGGACACTACGAAAGAGCCAGACTAAAGTCGGGCAGCGAAGAAAAAAGGCACTATCGATCTCAATCTTGTCCCTTAGCTTTATAATATAACCATTTCCTTTTATCTTTCTTCTAACCTTAATTAGTAACCAGATTTACAATCTTGAATTTACATGTGAAGATTCTCGTGATAATAACCTGAGCATGACTATCATCATGCATAGGTTAAACCCACATGATCTTAGAATTCAAAAAATATGCGAAACGATGCATGTGAGATGTACGAATCATTACACAAAGAACCGTTATATTACGGTGCCCTAGGACCCACGATTTCTACTTAACGATCATATGCAAATAAACCTGTTCAAGCAAGGCCCTCTGAATTAAAGCTTTAATGCCGATCCTATGAAAGCCAAGCCCCTATCAAAGATTCCATTGAAGAATAAGACGTTTACCCGATTCGGTTGATAGCTGTCAAGGTAATATTACCTTGTCAGGTAAGTGTGTAGCCGTGAAAGCAAGAAGCACATGGGTTAATGGAAGAGTCAATGAGTGAATCAATGAACTTGACTGGTAAAGAATGATGACGGCATAGAAGCCTTCATTCAACTTACCTTCCAATTGCCTTCTTTTTCAATGAGAATGGCTATGAGAAAGGGTTGGGAATTGACTAGAAAAGAGTTAAATAGCTTGAGTTAATGATGGTTCAATAACAATCGATGGGAGAAAACGTTCGATCTTGATCTTTTTATTGCCTGTAATTTTTATTATAAATAAGAGGCCAAATCCCTCTTGTCCAAGTAGTGTTCGAACTAGTGTGTGTATTATCTGCCCTAAATACAATAAAATTGTCAATAAAAGCCCTCTAATAAACCTAAATCACAACGTTCATTAAAAACTGTACCGATTTACCAACATAATGATACTTAGTAGACGTCTTAGACCCGTGCCAAATTGTTATCCACCTCACTCTCTACTAAATGTTGTTATTAGTGGTCTTGTTCATTTCATCCAATGATTGATCAACATTCTCCTTTTGTTTGTGGGTGTGTGTGTTGGTCACTTACCCGCTAACAATATATATTAACCTGCAATATCACAACCTACTAAATTTAACAAAAATTATATTTTATGTCGTGGCTGAAGCTGGAAATGGCTGAAGCTGGAAATTAGAGGTCTCGATTTAAAACTATAAGCCCTGCTAAAATC